CCAACTGGAGAAGCTGGAAGTGAAAGAGGATGCGATCAAGGCAAAAAGGTGGACTGTCAAGGGCAAACCCACTAGACTTCAGCCCATTTTGCAATGGGATCAGAGCACATTATCTCTGATCTAGTCATTACCTCTTATACACCCAAAGATGATACCTTCCAGCTTCTCCTCTGGGCCAGTTTAACCCTGTGATCAAGCTGAATGGCTGGTAATGCATCCCAGGGCAACAGAGATTGCCCCTCCCCCTAGCTTCTAGGTCAGACAAGGTACAAGTACTGGGAGCTGTGTATTCCTTCTCTCTCTGGCTGGCACTTAAGTGTATCTTAGCAACCTGTGGTCTGTTTTCCACTGTGAATGCTGTTGATAACATTGTCTTAACTCCGCTCAGGTCTTCTCTAATGTACTAAGAACAAAGAGGTATAGGTTTGGTTTCCCTAAAGTATTTTTGTTGTTGTTGTTGGTTGTGGGGCTTGAACTCAAGGCCTGGATGCTTCCCTGAGCTTTATCACTAAAGGTGGTTTTCTGTGGGGTTTAATTGGAGATGAGTCTCTTGGACTCAAAGAACTGTGATCCTCAGATCTCAGCCTCCTGAGAGGCTAGAATTACAAGTGTGAGCCAACAGTGCCCGACTATTAAGAGTGCTTATTAGAGTCTGTTGTGGGAAGTGGGAACTCAGGGAAGTTCCAGTTCTGCAATTCATGGGTACCACATGGAGCCTTAGTTTCCTCAAGTGAGTACTGCGGGAATCGACTAGCCAGCCCCTCATGGGGCTTTCTCAATGACACATGTAATGCTGATCGTGATGATGCATGTGTGACCTCAGAAGTAGAGTGAAATTTAGAGTTCTAGCTTATTAACTTTGTTTATTAACTGGTGGGTTTGAGATAAGTTTGTCTTATGATTTTACCACTTATATCCTATCATCTATTTTTTGTAACCCTGTCTTTCATTTCTCTACTTTAATACACTGATACCATGAATCTTTTCTGGAATGAAGAAAACGAGGAAGTAAAAAAAGCAACATAGGGGCTGGGAAGGTGGCTCAGTGGTAGAGCGTTTGCCTTGCATGCCTGAGGCCCTGGGTTTGATTCCTCAGCGCCACATAAGCAAAAAGAAAAAAGCCGGAAGTGGCACTGTGGCTCAAGTGGTAGAGCACTAGCCTTGAGCTGAAGAGCTGAGGGACAGCGCCCAGGCCCAGAGTTCAGGCCCCACGACCGGACCCAAAAAAAATAAAAAAAATAAAAAAAAGCAACATAACTACTCTCTTCCTCGGCAGTTCTATGAGTTGTTCAGAGTCTATACTTCTTACTTGAAGATGTTACTTTCAAAGGAAGAAAAAGGAAACCAAAACACTTGGCAATGAGGGAAGATGGTGAGTTTTCATGATCACACAGCATTCATCGTATTCCTCAAAATAAAAAGCAAGGTCAGGCGCCAGTGGTTCATGCCTGTAATGTTAGCTACTCAGAAGGATCTAAGGATCGTGGTTCAAAGCCAGCCTGGGCACGAAAGGCTGTGCAACTCTTATCTCCAATAAACCACCAGAAAACCAGAAGTGGCACTGGAGCTCAAGTGGCAGAGAGCTAACCTTGAGCTGAAGAGCTGAGGGACAGCGCTCAGGCCCAGAGTTCAAGCCCCATGACTGACAAAAAATAAAAATAAAGTAAAATAAAATAAAAAACAAGGCCATGCATGGTGGGTCATGCCTGGAAGCCTACCTACTTGAGATGAAGACTGGAAAGACCAAAGTCCAAGTCCATGTGGGCAAAAAGTTCATGAGACCCCATCTCAATCAATTCACTGATGTTGTACTTATCTGTCATCCCAGCTACTGGGGAGACACAGGTTAGAGGGTCGCCATCTGAGGCCAGCCCTGGACAAAATATCTAAAACAATAACTAAAAATGTAAAAAATGGCTGTACATGTAGTTCAAGTGGTAGAACACCCACCTAGTAAGTGCAAGGACTTGAGTTCAACCCCCAGTACTGCAAAAACAAAAACAAAAAACCCCCCAAACAATGAATGTCTTTCCTTAAGCATGAAAACAATAACAGGTTAGAAGTGAATTTTATTCAGTATAAAGTTTTTCAAAAAGCTTTTCACTTGGTTGAAAAGGTTACTGTAATATACTTTCGTTGGCTTGTATTATTACATTAGGATGTACAGAAACCAGTCTAGCTGCAGAGACTGAAACAGATGCCATTACTGGACAAGTCTGAATGGATTCTTTCTTTTTTTTTTTTTTGGGGTCCGGTCGTGGGGCCTGAACTCTGGGCTTGGGCGCTGTCCCTCAGCTCTTCAGCTCAAGGCTAGCACTCTACCACTTGAGCCACAGCGCCACTTGTGGCTTTTTTTTCCTGCATATGTGGTGCTGAGGAATCGAACCCAGGGCCTCATGCATGCAAGGCAAGCGCTCTACCACTGAGCCACCTTCCCAGCCCCTGAATAGATTTCTTTCTAATACTGCTATACCTCTGCTGGTCAGGAATGACAGGGAGCCACATTTCCCATGCCTAGTTGTAACTGCCGTCTGTGAAGCTGTTTAGATCCAATGAGGCATGTCACCCCAAATCTGATGGCAACAAGACGAGTTCAGAGCAGACTGCCTATATCTGTACTTAGATGGCCCACAGCCACCAGAAGCAGGAGAGCTGCTAAAGCTGAGAAGCCTGTGTGAGCGTAAAGTCTGCACCACTGCCTACCAGGCCTGGTGGCTGCCCACTTATAAAGTACCTTCCTGTGCAAGCAGGTAATAGTTCCCTGATCCACTATAAACAACAAGTGGCAAGACAGCAAGTTGTTAGTTTGAAAATGGTGCTTCTCAATGTAAGGAGAGTCTAGCAATACAAATATAGTCCATATTCTACTTAATATGCATACATTCTATACTACATATACATTCTATACCCTAATATATTCCATATTCTAGCTATAAAAATAAATTTGTGTAGGGGCTGAGGGTAGCTTAGTGGTACAGTGTGTGTTTAGTATGCACAGGACCCTGGGTTCACTCCATGGCACAAGTAGGTGAGCAAGCCAACAAACAAGCATCATTTGTGTGCATTTCTTTCAGGTCCACAATTTGCCCTCCAAAGTGGCCATTTCGAATCATTCTCATAACTTTTTTTTCTCTGTTTGGGACATCTTTCAAAGGAAAACAGTTACAGGTTCAAACAAAGCTAAAGCATAGTACTCCAGATTCTCCCTCAAAGGAGTTCTGCCAGTTATGCCCGTCAAGGCCACGTGCTTTATCCTGGAGCAGGCCTGGGAAACCTGTTCCTTGCCAAGCACCATCTGGATATTAGAACACAAAATTATCAATACAGGCAGATGGGCTGTGAGCAGCCAACAGGAAGCATGTGTGTCTGTCTAGTCATAGAGCAATGATTTCAACATTCCCCAGCCCTGAAGTTCCCCACCCCTGTCCTAGGCATACTGATGGACTTTGCTTTGAACATATGGGGAAAGGAGGAAGATGTACTGTCACGTCAGGCCTTCCTGTATCTGAGACCATCCTGTACCTCCTATCACTGGGCCCCTTCCCACACTTCCACTTCCCTGGGCTCTAAAGGCGGACAAGATCTCACAGGAAAAAGAACTAGACAGAAATTTCCAAATCATGAACTTACCTGTGATTTGGCCAGCAGCAAGAACTGCTTTTAACTTTAGGGATCCATTATAAAGATTGCATTCTTCCTTCAAAAAACAATTTTACCTAAATAAAAATGCATAGATAGTTTCTAAACTAACAACACAACACAGAGCGTTGTTTACACAAAATGAAGGAAAACATCAATGAACCTTATGTCTTTGTTGTTAAAAATTTTCTTCTGGCTCTTCTGTACTTTCTAATGGAATAGCACTTTAAATTCAATAAGAACTGAATGTCTATGGCTGGGTGTAGTGGCTCAGAACTGTAATCCCAGCTACTTGGGAAGCAGGAATATTATGGTCCAAGACCAAGTTAGGCCAAAAAAAAAAAAAAAAAAAATTAGTGAGCCCCTATTCAAAGAACAAGATGGATGTAGTATCTGCAGTTCCTACTATGTGAGAGGGTTGAGAGAGAATTGCAGTGTGAGTTCAGCCTAAGCAAAAGCATAAGATACTATCTGAAGAAAACAAAAACAAAAACAAAAAACTAAAGCAAAAAAGGGCAGGAGTCATGGGTCAAATATGCTTACCAGACAAGCACAGGGCTCAGAGTTCAACTTCGGTACTATTATAAAAATGTCTAAAAGTAGCTAATAAAATCACTACACAGACTATGCAACCATACCTACATTTCTTTCCTTTACTGTTTGATTTAATATGTGTGATTACTCGATTCCAAATGTTACCCTAATAATTTAGGCTTCATAAGGGCACTGCCTAGAACTATGAAAAAGAAGTTTACTAATTCAAGAGTCAGTATAAAACATTTCCTCTTTTAATTCTTCTGGAACTGTGACATATATTAGATTTTAAAAAGTATTTCAGAATGCTCAATTAGAGGTCTCCAGGAAGCAAAATGTTTAATTATTAACCATTAGTGATATTAAAATATTCATATGCCTTTTACTTGGACTTAATTGAACTTGGGAAGGAGAGGTGGGAGTTAGTGCTTTACTTGCACATAAGAACATTATCAGTTTATCAGAAAGAATTAGCTTTCCATACAACTTTCTTCTGGGATCCCCTGATGGGTCGGTCTGAAAATTACGGTTAATGCACTGTTCTTGTCTTTGGCCACTACAAGTGAAACACAGATCATGTCTTGAAACTGAATTCAATAAATCTGTAACAAAGGAGTTATTCCCACACAATTCTGCAAATCTTAGGTCTATCCATGTGCTGCCTGGTTTGTGGCTAGAGGAGAAAAGCACTGTGCAGCTATGCCAATCTGTCCTTTGGGAAGGTGTTCTCATCCACCGAGTCTCAGTGAAGGTCTGGGAGATGCTTTAGGATGAGCAAGCAAATGAAGGTTCTGTAGTGAGGAAAAGAATTATTTCCATGTTTTTACCTGATCTGTCCACGAACCAGAGGTCTGTTTTTTGTCCTATTCATGTTTGAGTCAAAGGGTACCTCAAAAAACTGTAAAAAAAATGAAAAAGGACAGAAAATATTATGATATAAAATAGTAAGTAACTCTTCTCATAGTAATTATCTTTCTTCTTTTTTTTTGGTGGTCTGGGAATGGAACCCAAGTCCTACACTTGCTAGCAAAGTGCTGTACCACTGAGTCAAAGCCCAGGGCTGTCATCTTCATTTCAACAGTGTAATTAAATCTTGACACTGCTTGAGGGACAAAGTTTAAATAACCAAGTACATTGTCAGAAATATGTATTTTTCCCCCTGCTACATCAAACCACTTATTCAATAACAGAATCTCCAAAGCCATGATTCAAAGTAGTAGTAGTGCTGAGTGTAAATGATTTCAGATGCTCACACACCCCACAGTCCATGAATCATTCCCCCACCAATGGGCTTCGGAAGTCAGGGGCAAGGGCAACAGGGACTGCAATCAAAGTGCAAGCACTCCCTTCTGCTGAGGACAATGAGTTTATACCTGAAGTGCCAACCCATGGTCAGAGCGACCTTCTCTGGGACCATTCCAGATGCCTGTGCCCACCTACACAAGGAAGCACAATCTCTTTTGTTGACCTACTAAAAGACAAACCCTACAGGCACCTCAAAAGTCCCTTTCAAAGTCTTAACCACTTGTACAATATGTTCTTTTTTTTTGGGTCCAGTCGTGGGTCTGAACTCTGGGCCTGGGCGCTGTCCCTCAGCTCTTCAGCTCAAGGCTAGCGCTCTACCACTTGAGCCACAGCGCCACTTCCGGCTTTTTTCTTTTTGCTTATGTGGTCTGAGGAATCGAACCCAGGGCCTCAGGCATGCAAGGCAAGCGCCCTACCACTGAGCCACCTTCCCAGCCCTACAATATGTTCTTAAAGTCACTACCAATGACCCTTTTTATTTTTTGTATGTGCCAACACGAGGGCGTGAACTCAGGTTCTGGGTACTGTCTCTTAACTTTTTTCACGCAAGGCTGGCGTTTTACCACTTGAGCCATAGCTCCGCTCTGGCTTTACATTGGTTAACTGGAAATAAGAATTCCACAGATTTTCTTGCTCAGGCTAGCTTTGAACTGCTACCCTAAGTTCTCAGCCTCCTAAGTAGCTAGGATTACAAGAATAAGGTGCCTGGATTGTTTGTGACTCTTTCGCCACCTTTTTTTTTTTTTTTTTTGTATAAGGAATAATCCACAATCTGATTAAGTTAGCAGAGAAAATCTGAGACTAAATGGGCTTGAGGCAAATCAGTAGAAGAAGTAATAATTCAATGGAAAGTTTAACCAAGTAGACTCCCAGCCATGTTCCCTAATAATCCTTGGAGTTGTTCCCAGAATGACTAATGGTCAAACCACATTAGTGAGATAAGGGCTCTGACAAATATCAATGTGAAGAAATCTAATTAACGTTGTTTTGCCAGTGTTTCCCAAACTTATTTGACCATGAAATCTTCTTTCAAGAAAAACATGCTTATCTGATTTCAGAAATGTCTGGTCTGAGTATATTTAAGTGAGTCTTATTTATGTGAGCAGAACTCATAGCTCTGTGTATATCACATTGTACTCAATGTGACTTTCATACAGGTTAGAAAAACACTACTGATAAAAAAACATAGTCTACAAATTAGTGAAGTAATACCCTACTTCACTTTACTTTTATTAACAGCACTATCTACTAATGAGTAAATGTTAAAAGTCAAAGAAATCTTTATTCTTAAACATTGGAGAAACTTTGAATTTATCCTTAGAAGTTATCAGTATTCCATTAATTTCCTTTCCCCTTAGGCTAGGTTCCAAGATTTTCTTGTTTTATTTTATTTTAACATTTTAATAACCTTAAGTTTCAGTTAAACACCTTTAACTAAAATGCTTTTTCTGTGATTCTCATTTCTTCCAGGCAACCACATTCATCCATCTACAATGCCCTGGAAGTTATGCATGGACGATTCTTTGCCAGTTTTTAGTGGTCCCAGTCTTTGCTACTTGGTTCCTAATGACCATCACTCCTACTTGGTAGTCAATGGCCTAGGACCAGGAATTCCCAGCTTTTAAAAGAAAACCACATACCAGCAATAACTACCACTCTAACTGCCACTCCTCCCAACACGATGTGGAACGACAGGCCTAACAGACACCCTTCCTGCAGTGGTTACATTTGTGATGGGTGGACGAAGGCTGGCCTAAGGCATTTTCATATACGGAGAGAGGAAGTGTGCACAGGACTGTATTCAGCGCTTCCTGGGTGCTTCTGTACCTAGAAACCCAATCTAAACTTTGGATGAAACAAGCCAAGAAGGATAAATACTGCATGTTCTTTATCATATATGAAGCTAAAAAAGTCAATTTGGAAGAGAGATTATACCAGGCTGGGAAGAATGAGGAGGAGGGCGGGGGCAGGGGTGGGGGAGAGGATGGATAATGGATAGAACGAATAAGTTCTGGTGTTCCCAGCACAGGGAATGACTATAAGTCACAGTGACGTATTATATCCCCATGAGGAACAGGAAGACTCCAAACACAAAGAAACAAAAGGTAGTAATCACCCTGGCTTGATCAGTGCATGACATGTACCTATGTCACGGACCCTACCACTATGTACAATTAATGCACGTCAATAAAAACACATTTTTAAAAGAGTGAAATGCTGTGGAGCCTCACTGTGTCAGCTATGTGAAAGGACTGGGGAAGGGAGGTGGCCTTGAGCCTTCTGAGGTGGTCTTTTGACTTGCTCTGTTTACAGACAACTCTAGCAGCTGCTGGTTTTATCACTTGATGGATATACTGCAAATCCAGTCCCACACCAATGGAAATTCAGCTTGTCTCCCTAATTCGCTATCTAAACACATGCATTGCAAATCTGGGTCTGCATATGGATACAGGGTCTGCATATGTGTTTCTATAGGATAAATCCATTTTCTATTCAAATACCAGTCTTCCCTTGACTGGGACACAGTACTTAGTAGGGTTTCTGACCTATTCTCTCCTAATGTGCCTCTTTGGGTACAACAGCTAATTTAATTTCTTAGCACTTACTGTGTGCCATACATTGGGTCAGGTTGTGGCTGGACTGACCTTGAACTCTGGTTTTGAATTTGCAATGCTGCTGTTGCTGTCTCCCAAGTGCGTGCACCATTAATAAACCCAACTTTTTATTCTTCTCTCCATCCTCATCCCATTTAAGGTAAAGTATGACTTACCATATTTAGTATCATATCTTAATAGTTAAACTATACAATACTAGGACCTTTATAGGTGAATAATGTATTTCTTGGGGATAGATGAATGCTTTTCCTTTGGTTGTATAGTTTTGTCATATTTAACATAACAGTATTTTGTTACTTTTACTATGATTCTCCAGGCCTCAGCCTCCTGGCATGAGCCACCAGTGCTTGGCTGTTCTTGACTATCTGTAAGTATGCCTAAAGACTTCAATGGCTTTCTGGTATGTCAATATAGTTATCCTGGAGCTACACTGCCCAGAATTTCCCTTCTGCATAGCTATAGGCTAGAGAGCCATAGATAAGCCTATATGAGATGCAGAAGGGCGCCAAGAAGGGATAGCCATGTTTATGCTTGGCAAGTTGGGCTGATGTCAAGTATTATTGCAGTTAAGGCTCAGCTGGGCACACCGTTGGCTTCATGTAGCTTACAACTCTGGCTAGCTCCCCTTGGACTGTAGCCGATCCCCAAGTTCTTGCAGCTTCTCATGATACTGGGCAAAGTTTGTGTGCTGCTCCTTGGCAAAGTGCACCAGCTATTCTGCAGAGCACATCACCAAATCCAAGGCTTGCAGGTTTTTTGACAGCCATGTGGCCAAGTTGGTGTTCAAAGATTCCAGATTGCTCCTGCTCTTCTTCACTTTCTCATTGACAGCTCTGCTTTTACCAAGCCCAGCACCAGATACAGGAGGAACAGTCTAAAATCAATAGCTTAAGTCCTAGGATCACACAGGGTCAAATCCCTATAATACATGCCTTATACCATTCACAGAGGCTCCACATTGTAATCAAATCCTGATTTATATAGGGTTATTAGTGTCTATTTTCAACAGGGCCAAAGTAAAAGTAGTGAGCTTTTTAATATATTCATACTATATACCAATTTATTCTCACAAATCTTACTACTGAGTAACTATTACATGCAAATAGGCTTTTGACCAATCATTTTTTAATTTTTTAAATGAATCATCAGTGTAAGCAATCATGTTACTGCACTTAATATTATATTAAATCATATATATTATTATATTATATTAAGTTATAATATATAGTATATAGTTATATTGCATATATAATATATACTATATTATATAGTATATATAATATATGCTATGGTATATATAATATATACTATACATATTATATGCTCTATATAATACATAATATATGATATGTTATATGTACTATATTATTTATAACATAATATGAAATATATATTATATAGTATATATTATATATATATATACTATATAATATATATACCTGCAGACTGCATTATATTCAGGTACAAGTGATATATAATTTAAAGTGTTAAAAATTCTTTTTCTGATAGTCTATATTCTATACCGAATAAGCTGCTACAGGTCTAGTAGTTAAAAAGTTCTCTCCTAATGCTGGAGGCACTGCTTAAGTGGTGGAGAGTTTGCCTAGTAAGCTTGAGATGCAGCTAAGTCCAGAATCATGAAAAAAAAATTCTAATTCTATCCTCTATGTTCACATTCCTCCCCTTTCTTAATTGTCAAGCACAATGGATAGTATGTGAAATGATCTTTCCTTTATAGTATGGGCCATTAATTTCATTTCACAGGACTAATAAAAATTCCAATCACAAATCAAGTTATAGAAATGCTTATAAGGTGTTAGCTAGTATAATATAGAACCTTGTAGATAAATAACTACATCTTGAGAGCTCTACAGAGTGTATATGTATGTGTGACTGTGTCTGCCTGTGTGTGAGCATGCAGGCACACATGTGTGCTCCTAATTCAAGAATTCTAACCAGTCATTTAATCTAAATAAGA